CCCTGTTCTTACCAAGAGCTCAGCAGACACCCTGACACCAAAACCTACCTGGCCATTGTGTGGCATCTTCTAAACAGCCCCCCAGCTCTGCCATTACACTGGAGGTCCTCTTCTGCCCCTGCTCTGCCCTGCCCTGCCCTGCCCTGCCCTGCCTGCCTCCTCAGACTCTCATGGAGCTTTCTCTTTTTTTATCCCTGTCTTCTCACTGAAGACAGGGGACTGTAGGGGATACACATTTGATTAAGATAGGAAAGATGGGGCACTTTCCTTGCATGAGATTATACGAAGAGATGTGTGTTAGGTGATGCCCTGGTGTGTGGAGGCTGCATGCTTAGGCTGGGGTATGTGCATATCCTCACTTTATCCTTATACTAGGCTAAAAGGTTGTCTTCAGTGTTCTTGGGTGTGCAGATGAAGTTTCTGCATAAAAATGAAGTTTTGGCTTTATATTGTTACTAACCAGGCAGATAACAGATTTTAACTTGGTAAAAGATACAGCCTACATTTGGGTTTCCATTGTTTACACCAAGGCTACTCTCAAAATCTGTTTTTCAAAATTTCCATCCCTTTATCTCAGTCATTGAGTAGATGTTTAATCTATATTTGCTGACTAGCAGTCAGCTATCTTCAGCATGGATGTTTATTCTCACTGTCTTGAGCTTGATCTAATGGTCATCACACCAGTTTAACTTAAGTCAGTCTTTGTCAGTACCATTTCTATTTCAGCTTCTGAGTTCCTTTTTTACCCTCAACTGCTTCCTAGTAAAATCAAGCTAAAACCAGCGTAGACAGTTTTGTGCACCACAGCTCTGACTTAGCTAACACAAAGTTCTCATCACACAGACAAAGGGAAGTGTCTTGAACGGAAATGCAGAACTGGATTCTCACCCAGAGACAGTTTTCCTTGCTATTGTTGCCTAGAGGGAAAACAGAGTGGGGAAACCTAGATGAGTGCTTCTATGCCATACCTATTCTGTGAATAAACAGAACGACTTCAGTTTCCAGGGCTTTTTATGTTACACCAGACATTTCCTACATACCTCCTGTTTGACCACTTTGGACTATAATATATTGCAAGTTGATACTATCACAGTCATGAAACAGTGAGGTGTCAGTTCTGTGAGGGTCCTCATGTCAGGTACCATTCATCACTTAATCTGTCTAAAAATCTGAATAAACAGAAGCTGAAGTCCAACAAGAAATCTCTTAGAAAAAGAAAACATGATGTTTGCCGCTTTTTTGCCAAGAAGGCTGAGATGAGCTGCTGCAGTTTGTTGCTATGAAAGTGCTCTGAGGCTTTGTCCTCCTTACACAGCAGTTACCTTGAACCTTTGGTCCTAGCTGATCTGTGCCATGTAATTACATCTGGGAGAGGCAGACCTCCTACAGAGTCCTGAGTGCTGAAGATCTCAGATTTTGCACCAAAGTTTCACCTGGGAACATGTGAAAATGTCAGACCCGTAAATTGGCTTCTCTCTCGTATCACCTAAGTACCACTGCCTTCCCAAGCCTCCTCTTTCCTTCTGCCTTGCTGTAGCCACAACAAGCTTCCATGCTTGCAGATACAAAGCAAGGATGGCCCTACAGGTGGTTGTTGTAGAATTAGCGATGTGGTTGTAGAATTCATGATGTGGTTGCTCACCCGGTGTCAGAGTTTAGGATGTATAAGGCATAAAACTACTGTTTTTAGAAAAATGAAAGATGAAATGATTTATTCAGTGATAATGAGATGATAGTTTGAAGACAATTACGTCTTTATAATTATTAGTTAGGTAATGAGAAAGGTCTAGTTTGATTCTGGAAGATTTAGTGTAGAAACCCTATACTAACCCCATGGAATTCCATTTTGCTAGTGTAACCTATGGAAAGATTTTATTTCTTAGTATCCTTCAAAACATTAGCCTTGCATTTTGAAGTTTCAGAAGACTGAACTATTTAGCTAGCAAGTACCTGACGGAGAGATAAGAGATGGTGTTAATAGAAACAATTTTGTAAACTAGACAGGACTCACAGATGTTTATAGTGAGAATCCAGCAGCCAAGAGAGTGTAGCACCTGCATTCTCCTGTAGAAGAGTTTAAGTGTCTGGGTTTTCACAAGTGCAGACACTTACAAAGGTACGTAACAGTGAAATGTTGGTATCCAGTAGATTTCCGTGGCTCTTCTGAGCACACATATTGCAGTGCTACCGTTTAATATATATTTTTTAATTTATTATTATTTTTTTTTTCATAAAAGAAAATTTCACCTAGCCTAAAAAAGTCCGTTATAATGCCAAGTACTTCGGGAAATTCAGCCCTAGTCAGGAGTAGGGCACAGCAGGCTGGCAAAGAGCTACTGCAGCAAAGGAGTTAGTACAGCTGGGACCGCCCTGGAACATCTGTAAAACGGAACTCATGGAAGATTATGCTGTCATGTCATCTAATGCGGCTCAAAAATAAACAAATACGTAACTTTGGGGGTTCCAAGGCCTTGCTCAGCTCCAGAACAAACGCAGTACACTTAAAGATCACTCTCTAGTTTTTCTTTTGCATTTCTGTCCCAACAGTCTGACCGTGCGGGTTTCAGCCATCAGCTTTGTCACAGCCCGCCCTGCCCGTTTTCTTTGTCAGGAAGAATAAGGGAGAAAAACGCAATTACACTGAAGTACAGAAGTGTCCCTCAAAACTATAAGCAAACATTTATAGTAGCACATCGTACTGGTTGCTAGAAGAGGCTGCCAGGAGAGACTTAAACCGGAATCATCCGACGCTGCTGCAGTGTGTACAGACGGGCGCAGCCAGCGCTGCCCCCACTGACTCCTTCCCCCCACACCCTCCCCCCCG